CACTTGTTCAGACCACAGTTTTCATGGGACTTGATTTCAGAAAAATCCATTCGTGTAATTTTCGGCTGTTCCTTGAAGAGAAGCTTCTGGGAGACTCAGCTCTGCAGACGGTTTCACACCTTGGAAGTTGTTGAATATTCATGCTCACCTTTAAAGCGCAGCTCCTCCTGCCAGTCCAGCTGGTTTCACCCCCAGCCCCCCCACCCCACGTACGTATCTCCATTGCCAGCTCGCTCCATCCACTCCTGGCAAAGTCCCTGCGTACACTGGGTTCTCTGTTTCCATGGTTCTTGGTCATCATGTTCCTGTAACCCTCAACTGCTTGTCTTCTGATTTCCTAAGGGGGGGGGGGCTTCCCAACTTCAATGCGACTTTCTGCCCCATTATAAGGACAGTGCTTCTATGTGCCCTTCTCACGGTGAGCAATGGGGTGCATTTAACTCTTCTATGTATTCAAAGTTCAATTACAATTGCAAAGGACAAGTAAGCTTTTTAAATTAAAACACACGTCATACTAAAAGAGCAGTGGCACCTGACCAGACAGGGATGCTACTAACACCTTAGGGCGGGGCAGTTTTTGCAGCAAATTGAATTTTGGAATCAAATTTACAGGTGGACAAAATCTTTCTGCTTCCAGAGCTTTCTGCATTTTGGAATCACAGAGAAGGGACCATGCACCTGTTCTATCAGGAATCAGAATAAAAAGAACAAAGGTCTTCAGGTACCTAGAATCCAGCAGGAGAGAGATGACCATGTGCAGCAGAGCACTGTTGACCTATGACAGAGAGCTGGAATTTCAGAAGCCCTCTTGGGTGCTCAGCTCAGAATACTCTTCAAGGCAGGTGCAGATGACGTGACCCCCCCAACAGGGAAGATCACAACCAAGGTCCCAGGAGATAGGCCAAAGCAAGCTTCGCCCCCACAAGTAAGCAGGGAAGGCTGTGAGAACCCAAAATGAGCCACTCACCTGAGAGGTTCCTGGGGAGACCTCAGGCCAAAGTGTCTTGTTGAAAGGAGGGAGGCAGTGTGGTCAGCATAGACAAGACTGTGCAGGTGAGCAGCACAGACAGACAGGTGGACAGGTGCCGAGTCTGGCTGGGCACAAATAACGGAGCTGCCACACAGCCTTGTAGGTTCAAACAGCAACTCTTTATTCCCGAACTCTCACCAGCACTCTACACACACACTCTCCGGGAACACACTCCCTCCACCAGGCTCCATGCGCCAATTCTCCCGGAACCCCTGAGAGAACTCAAGGGGAACTCCAAAGTAGTGGGCACCAAGGCAGCAGGATCCGCCCTAATCGCCCTAATCCCCGGAGCTGCCCTAATCCCGCAGCAGGGTCACCTTTCAACCATCCCCTCTAGCAAAATGCCAGGCGTCATTCCGACTAAACTGTGGCTCTCAACAGACAGGGGCCTGCCTTCTCAGGGACTTGGGAGCAACAAGGGCCCCCCGGGAGGAAGTATGGTGTCAGATCTGTATTCTCCCCAATCTTCCATCAGCTGGACAAACTGTCACCTGGAAAGGGGAGAAACAGTGTAGACACTGCTGTTGTGCCCCAGGTGTACTGAGAAATAGCTAGAGGACAGAGAGGGCAGAGATGGCTGAGAGAGTTGGATAGATAGCTAAGGATGGCCCTGGCAAGCTGAAGGGTTAGATGTTAGAGCAGAAGTCTGGCCGCGGGAGGAGGAGACAAGTTGAGTTTGAGGCGTCCATCAGACTTCTAAGTGTAGATCTGTCTTCCCATGGTGTCTGCCAACTTGCCACTGAATCTGTCCTAATAAACTTCAAATGTCATATGGACAGATTCAAGGCCAGTCAGGTGGATGAAAGACAGACAAATGGATGGGTGGACAGATAAGTGAGTGAGAGGGACTAGACAGATGGACAGATGAAGAGAGGGAAGGACAGACAATTGGGTAGATGGTGCTGGTGGCCCTGGTCTGGTCATCGGCCCTGGTTCTAGTGATTACCTCCTTGTGGGAGCTTTCTATTTCAATTCAGCTCCCATGCACAGAACTGACCCTGCCTTCCTCCAGGGACTCCACCAGAGACCCATTGCCAGGTCTAGCTCCCCAGGAGTTCCGCTTCCTGCAAGGTGTCCTGCTGCTGCCCACACTGGACACAGCACTGCCTCTTGGACTGGCATCTGTCTTTTCACTTCTCTGGTCTCACCTCTGAACCCCTGCTCTTCTGAGAGGTATCACCGTGCTGATGCAGCCCTTCGCTGGATTGGGGGTGCCTTTACTACACTCTGCCCTAACAGGCAAGATCAAGAAACCCAGATGGTCCACGTCCTGCCCACTGTTGCTAAAAGCTTGGTCCTTGTCCCTGATGCCAATCCAATAACATAACGAGGACATGGTTTTGAGAAAAATGAAAAAAGATTTATTGCTTTGCTAGCAAAGAAGAAACACAATGGACTCTTGTCCCAAAGCCTAACCACAGTAATTGGGGGCTTTTATAGAGGTGATTCACAGAAAATGAAATCAGGGAGGAGAGACCAGGAAGGAGAAGAATGGGGAAAAGAAGATCAGGGAGGAGAAGTTCAGGAAAAAGAAGATCAGAAAAAAAAAAAAAAGGAAATAAAGTTTCAAAGCCACAGGGACATAGTGGAAGCATCAAATGAACCCCTATTAGCTACAGCCAGGTTCTCTTGCCACTCAGTGACAGAAGGCAGCAGGCCTAGAAATTAGGTGGCTGGGGTTGTGGCTCAGCAGTAGAGCACTGGCCTCGCATGTGCATGACCCTGGGTTTGATCCTCAGCACCACATAAAAATAAGTAAGTGAAATAAAGGTATTGTGTCTAACTACAATTAAAAATAAATAAGTATTTAAAAATAAAATGAAGAAAGGAGGAACAGAATCCCTCCAACTAAAGGGTTCCAACCTCGGTGGAGGTGGGGCTGGGAGGAGTGTCTGAAAAAGAGTGTCCCAAGGCAGGTCACTGCTCTTCCAGCCACATCTCTAGATGGCCTTGGACAGGCCACAGCAAGAGTGGGGGATCAGGTTTCCCATCTGGCAAGAGTAAAGGGCAGGGCAGAGGGCTGGGGGTCCAGCCGGTAGGAGTGGAAAGTGTGGGGCCAGGGCTAGGGGTCCTGTCGCAGGAGTGGGGGGAGTGGGGAGAGTGGGGGAGGGATGGGGGGGTCCTGCTGAAGCCAGATTTAAAGTTAGGTGGTCAGTGTAGTTAGGTAAATCGGGTCTAATACCTAGTGAAATCTAAAATGGAGGCCATGCAGACAATGATTCCGGCAAACGCAGGAATGTTAATGAAGGCCCAGAAAAGCCCCTAGGCCCAAAGTCCATCCCAAAGAAATGTTAATGAACAGCCCCCAACAGATTGGGAGATAGCCCAGGCCAAAGAAGTGATAATGACGTCCTTCCAGCCCAGTTTACTCGTTTGGCCCACCTGAGTCCCACCCCTTCCCCCTTACATTCCATCACCAAACTATAAGAAGGGGAGACAACAGCCCTTCCACGGATCCCACCTCTTGGGTCCCCTCCTTCCTCAGGGAGAAGTCTCTTCTACTGTCCTTTAATAAAGGTCTAGTTTCTACTCTGACCTTGCCTCCGCAAGCTCTCTCTGTTATTCTTCCACATCGGGGAGGCAAGGACTCGTCACCGGCCAACAGCGGTAACTCTGCCCCAGGAGCGGGGGAAGTGGGGCAAGGTCTGGGGGTCCTGCCCCAGGAGCGGGGGGAGTGGGGTGAGGGCTGCGGGTCCTGCCCCAGGACTGGGGGAAGTGGGGCAAGGTCTGGGGGTCCTGCCCCAGGACTGGGGGAAGTGGGGCAAGGTCTGGGGGTCCTGCCCCAGGACTGGGGGAAGTGGGGCAAGGTCTGGGGGTC